GGATCCAGTCCAGAATGCTATGGTTTGAGCATTCATATGTCTCCAAAATTAATGCTTAAACTTAGTGCCCAATGCAATAGTATTAGGAGGTGGGGTACTGAGGATGCGATTAGGTGATGAGGACTCTGCGCTTATGAATGGGATTAGTGCCTTCATAAAGGGGCTTGAGGAAACTAGCCAGCTGTTTTTCTACCTTTCTGCCTTCTGGGGACTCAGCATTAATTCCCTCCAGAGGATGCAGCAAGAAGACACCAGCTTGGAAACAAAAAGTGAGCCATTAGCAGATACCAAATCTCCTGTTCCCTTGATCTTGGACTTCCCAGGTTCCAGAACTGTGAGAAATACATTTATTTTTATTTTTTGTAATTAGCCAGTCTAAGGGATTCTGTTATAGCAGCCAGAACAGAATAAAACACAAGTTAAAGCACATACACAAATATGAACCGGGCATTTCAAATGGCCAATTCAGAACGTGTTTGTTTCTTTAGAGTGTTTCAGCAATTTTGATAGGCAATAGTCTTTAAACAGTGACACATAGATCTCTAGTCTAATTGCTATTTGGCCTTCGTTGGTGAGAGAGATAATAAAAATTAGACTTTTCAACATCTTTAAAATCATAGTGTATTTGTGGATGCATGTAAAAAGTGACTAAAACCTACTATGACTCAAGGGGGGAATTTGTGTGAAAGACAAGCAATTATGTGACTTTATTAATTGTGGTAACATATTTTTGTTACTTTTATTAATCTGTAGATCTTTAATTTAGAAGCATGAATCAATTTTCAACTCTATCACTCCAGTGACCAATGCAGAATCAGAATTATGCTTACACATTTAATTGGGGGAGAGCTTGCAGAATCATCTGCTTTTTATTTTATGATTAATCATAAGAAGGACAGAGTTGAGTGCTTCACTTTTATATTAGTAAAGAAAAATTTTTATTTTTGAAATTTGCAAAAGCGCTCAATCAAATTTTGATGAACATTTCCTTAGCCTTTTGAGGATTCTCTTCATTTCTGTGCCATAATTTCATAACAAGAAGCACATGTAAAAGGTCATAAGCTCGGATTCAAGAGAGATTTTACTTAAATAAAATATGGTAGAAATTTGGTTATATAAAATGATATTTTAAATTAAGAAGGTAATGAAATCTGTGGAGTCTGTTACGCATTTTCTAAATTATACATTTATTTTAATAGGAGAATGTATTCCAAAGTTTCACTATAGAAATATGCATGATATTTGAAATATGTAAATCTGTAGGTTGACTGTTGCATTATAGTTTTAAAATATGTGTCTTTTGTATTTAGTTCAGGTAGATAAAAGCAAAGATTTCTAAGAGCAGCTTTCTCACAAACAATTAATTATTCTTAATTATCCTGATCAATCTGAAAAATAATTTACATATTTTAAAGTTAACTTGTATTTTATTTCAATTCAATAAGTATTTCCTATTTCTCACTTAAAATTTTAGAAATAATGTGAGAATAGACCATCTGTATTTTCATGAAGATTAGACTCAGAAGGGGAAAAGTAATGTCACAAGTATACAAAAAACTTGGTATGAACTTTTCATAAGTCACATTAACATGTGAAGTTGGTGTACAGCTAGAGCTATATATACTTATTTTAATGTAGTGAAGGAAAACATATTGCTATGTAAAACCCAAGAGTAATTTATATTTTATATTTCATCTCTTCTAGCTAACCTATACCTCCAAATAATGTATTCAATTATATCACAACATGTTCCATTAGGAAGGAAACAATGATTTGAAATAGACTATTGTTTCAGACACCTTGAAACAGAATAGTCAGGATCAGGGAGAGATGATTTATATAAAGAGAGAGAATGGAAACACATAATACACACCCATTTCTGTTTTAAAAATAATTAAAGATAAAAATGAAATGCCCAATAAGTTTCAGTATTTGCCAGAAAGTTTAGATTAGGAATAGTTTTAGTTCAAGAAAGTTATTTCCTCTTATAAACAAAGTTTTTGAAAAAAAATAAAGTTGGGATAAAAGAAGAGTTGTATACCAAAATAATACATCAATCTGGTGTGGTAAAAAGGAAAAAAAAATTTAAAAGAATTTTGAAGAATGAATAACTGCAGGTTTAAAGTGATAGATAAAATGCATACTACACTTACAAGAGTATGCATTCAAAAAAATCTATTGTTAGCATTGGAAAATTAATAAACTAGAAACGGTGATAAAACTAAAATGTATAAATCACCAAGGGTATCAGAGTAATAGGGAGACTTTATGAAATAGAGCAACTTCTAAAGCCATACATTAAAAGAGAATCACTGCAATAAGACACTCTTAGCATGATGAGGGGCAATACAGCTAGAAACAGGGTTGGGAGGAGATCAGTCACTGGGTTCAAAGAAAGGACAACATCATAGCCTGGTCAGAGTCCCCATTCTGAGCAACTACCTGTGGCATTTGCCTTTAGGATAAACGAAGACTAGCTCTCTAATAGAAGTCTGAGTCTGACACTAGGGATGCAATGTGGGCATCAGTATCAGAGGCAAACAGGACATTCTCATGGTGATCAAGATGAAGCTAAAAGTTCAACACAAATATTTAACTTCATTTTTTAAAACAAACTTTTGACTTTGAATATTTTCAGCCAGGCAATTCTACCCATAGCCACTGATTCCATAAAAATATTTGAACATACTTTCAAGAATATGCAGATAAATTGATAGATATTGATGTAGTATATTTGGTAATAATTGTAAAACACAGGCAATCTAAATATTCATCAGTAATGTGATGGCCCACATAATTATGGAATATGCAGCAGTTAGAAAAATGAAACTGATCAATATCTACTGAAATGGAACAATGTGTATCACCTGCTTTAAAGTACAGAAAGGAAGTTGCAAGCCAATATAAAATCTATATTCTGTTATGTAAAAAACTATCTACCTATCTTTCCAACATATATGTGTGTGTGTGTGTGTGTGTGTGTGTATAAATATAGTATAGATAGACAGGAATATGCTCATTTACATGTTTGTATTAGATTGTTTGGTAAGATACACCAAACAATCACTCCTAATTTCTGAGGAGTAGTAGTGCTCAAAGTGGGACCATTAAATTTTTTTCTAAATAATATTTATTGTAGTGTAGGCTTTTTACAGTTACATATATTACTTTCATTTTTAAAATATGTTAAGATAGAGCAGAAGATAATAGGATGCCTAGAATTGAAAGAGTAGAAGGAAACATGTAGTACGTATTTAAAGGGTAGTAGGAAAAACGTGAAATGAGAGAACAGGGCTAAAATCAAATTTATTCCAATGTATTTACATAGAGCTACACAATAGTCATGTTTTTATTAATTATTAATTCATATTTGTACAAATAATATGGATAATAAGCCACATTCATTGAGGACATGCTATGCGGTAAGCACATTGTTATTTGCTTCATAGGCATTATCCCATTTAACTTCACAACTATCCTACAAGGCAGGCACAAATACTCATTTTACAGATAAGATAATGAAGTCACACAGAGGTTAAACTATAAGGCTTGTAATTAGCAGAGCCATTTGACCTCTTGTTTAACTATGAAATACAGGAAAATCCTGGATTAACTTAGTTTGATTCAACTTACAGGGGTCTTGGAATGGCAACAGTTTTGAATGCACAATATCTTAATTCTACAGAAGAGCTACTTTCTTGAATTCCAGAGAATATTAAAGGACAAGAAAAAGAGCCATTCTGACTGAGCTTCTGAGTTTACAATACTTTACTTTTGCTTGGCTTTATCTATATGGGGACTTCCTGCATGTAACCAGCTCACTTAGCCAACAGTCTGATCATGATCCTCTAGATTCTGGAGTGTGGAGCTTGACAAAGACATTGTTCTGAACTGAATTTCTGTGGTGAGCCTGTCATCTACAGGAAGGAGGTTCTGCAGACTGCTGCTCAGCATTGGGAAACTGATCCCAGACAGCAGGCAGCAAAGCAGTAGAAGAAAGAGCTGAATATAATACTGAAAGCTATGCTAATTAATTATACTTTATGAATGTATTTTTTGTATCAGACACTATGGTACAAATTTTATTCTGAGTTTTTAAAAGCGTACAATTAAAATATTTGGTTTCTGGTTCCTGAGAATGAGATGTAAGACTTATTTTAAATCAACGGCTTTTTAAAAAAAATATGAAGCATGCATAAAGCTTATAGAGCTTCTGTCCACTTCATGTGGTCTAATGTTTACCCTCATGTTGATAGAAAGAAAAGAGGTCAATGAAAGAAAATGACATTAATTATTTAACTAAACCAAGTTAATGATGATTTGTATGTGCATACTAGTGACATCAAAAGTATACATTTATGTTTAAAAATATATTTTATTTTACTAGATCTTACCTGTTAACAATGAAGTATGTTATAAGAGAGTGATAGCAATTAGATTTTGTAAGTAATAAATCATAAAATTTGTTTTCATTAACCCATTTATGCTGGAGGTTGCAATTTTTAAAATTTAACTTGAATTTAAAAATCAGATCTCGGTGATGACCTTGAGCTGTAGGATATAAATAACTCCTACATGCTTAGTGTTCCAGTAATGGAACACTAGGCATAAATGGGCTAACTAGCTTACTTTCTCTCTCTCTTTTTCTTTTTTAATATATATAAGAAGTACAAAAAAGAGAGTGGTTCTTCAAATACATGGTGTGGCAGTGTTCAAACTAACATTCAGCTAGTTTGTCTCTCTGTGTGTGTGATTATTATCATTATTAGTACAATAAGGAGCATTATTTCACCATATTTAGAAAGAAGAAAAATCTGCTAGAAATTGACTATTTGGAAAAACAGTATTTGCACTGGTTTCTCTTATGTAGTTGATATTTCATTTTTATGTACTAATATGCTGCTGTATTCAAATAACATTATTTCTAGATATGTCAGGCAGCTTATTTAATTAATTAACATTAATTGAGTTAATGGTAATAATATTATCCTTGGACTTACCCTGGCATTGGTCCATTTCCAGCAAGACTGTAAACCTGACGAGGATTTAGTAGATACTGAAATTTTCTGTAAATTCTATAAAAGTGAAAATATGGGAAAAAATTCAATAATATTCAACACTTTTAAAATAAGTAATGTCTCTCAGTGTTATAAATATATATAGTTGCAATTAATTATATAATTTAATAAAAAATTCTATCAATTTACTAAATTTTGAATCAATAATATCAGAAGTCCAACAGCTCAATAGGAACTAAGGGTTTTTTAAAAGGTTTAGTTGTCACTATTAAGGCAATATAGTTCATAAGTTAGAAATATTGCTTGCATCCTTAATATGCATATGAATTTAGAATATTCTCTAACCCTCTTTTGAACATTATTTAGCTAATTGGATTTCAAATAAACACATATTTTTTAAATATTTCAGTATAAAATTGCTTAAATATCTTCTCTCAATAAATCCTTGTGAATACTTTGTCCTCTACAGATCTCTAATAGATCTGAAAATTATCTATCGTCTATATGAAATGGGATGGTATATTGTATATATGTACATGTAAGCAAAGAATGTAGCCTCATCTGGCCTAATCATTTCATATAAACAAGATCTTGACCAGTCATCTCACAAAATTGCTAAACTGTCTTAGCAGCATGTATTAAATATTTTTTTTTCTGAAAGAAAACAATGTTTATAAATAAATGCAATAAAAATGTTTCTATGCATGCACATATCTCACATGGTATGAATGCTTAGACAAATACTAAAAGTAAAGAGATAAAGAGTACATCAAAAAGTTAATTTATCACAATCAGTTAGGCATTATTCCTGGGATAAAAGGTTGGTTCAACATACACAAATCAATAAATGTGATTCACCACATAAACAGAATTAAAAGGCAAATCCATATAATTATCTCAACAGATGCAGAAAAATCATTTAATAAAATACAAAATCATTTCATTAAAAATAAAATCCTCAACAGACTAGACATCAAAGGAACATCCCTCAAAATGGTGAAATCCATCTATGACAAACCCACAGCCAACATCGTACTGAACGAGCAAAAGCTGGAAGCATTCCCCTTCAGAACTGGAACAAAACATGCCCACTCTCACTACTCCTATTCAACATAGTTCTGGAAGTTCTAGTTAGAGCAATTAGACAAGAGAAAGAAATAAAAGGTATCCAAATAAGAAAATAAGTCAAGCTCTCTCTTTTCACTGATAATGATTCTATACTCAGAAAAGTCTCAAAATTCCACCAAAAGGCTGCTAGAACTGAAGAATTTTAGCAAGGTTTCAGGACACAAAATAAACGTATAAAAATCAACAGCACTTCAATAACATCCTGGCAGAGTCAAGTCAAGAATACAATATCATTTACAATAGCCACACACACACAAAATGAAATACCTAGGAATACAACTAAACAAGGAGGTGAAAGCACTCTACAAGGAGAACTACAAAGCACTGCTGAAAGAAATCAGAGATAACACAAACGAAAAAAGAAAAAATTTCCATGCTTATGGAAGAATCACTATCGTTAAAATGGCTACTCTGCCCAAAGCAATTTACAGATTTAACACTGTTTCTAGGAAACTAGCAATGTCGTTCTTCAAAGACTTAGAAAAAAACTCTTCTAAAATTCATGTGTGACCAATAAAAGAGCCTGGATAGCCAAATTAAGCCTAAGCTAAAAAGAACAAAGATGGAAGGATCACACTATAAGGCTACAGTTACAAAAACAGCATGGTACTAGTACAAAATCAGACACTCAGGCCAATGGGACAGAATAGAAAACTCAGAAATATAGCTACAAACCTTCACCTGATCTTCAACAAGGCCAACAAATATAAACAATAGGGAAAGGACTTCCTATTCAATACATGTTACTGGAATAGCAGGCTAGCCATATGCAGAAAAATGAAACTGGACTCTTATTTTTTACCACATACAAAAATTAACTCAACGTGGATTAAAAATTTAAATGTAAGACCCCAAACCGCATTTCTAAAAGAAAACCTAGGAAATATCCCACTCGACATTGGCCTTGGCAACACATTTTTATTAAGTCCTCAAATTGCAACAAAAGCAGAAATTGATTAAGCTACAGAGCTTCTGCACAGCAAAAGAAACCATCAACAGAGTAGAGACAACCTGTAGAATGGGAGAAAATATTTGCAAACTATTCATCCAACAAAGGTATAACATCCAGAATCTATAAGGAACTTAAATCAATGAGAAAAAAGCAACAACAAATAGCCCCATTAAAAATGGGCAAAATAAATGAACAGACACTTCTTAAAAGACATACAAGCAGGAAACAAACATATGCAAACATGTTCATCATCACTAATCATCAAAGAAATGCAAGTTAAAACCACAATAAAATACCATCTTACACCAATCAGAATGGCTATTATTAAAAAGTCAAAAACCAGTGGATATTGGCAAGGCTGCAAAGAAAAAGAAATGCCTCTATGCTATTGTTGTGAATGTAAATTAGTTCAGCCATTGTAGAAAATGGTTTGAATATTTTTAAAAAAACTTCAAACAGATCCAGCATTCAACCCAGCAATCCCATTATTGGGTGTAAACTCGAAGGAAAACACACCATATACCAAAAAGATACATACACTTTTATTTTCATTCCCGTTCTATTCACAAGAGCAAAGACATGGAATCAACCTAGGTATCCATCAATGGTGGGCTGGATAAAGGAAATGCCATACATATATAGCATGGAATACTACACAGCCATTACAAAAGAATGAAATCATATCCTTTGCAGCAATGTGGATGGAGATTTAAGTGAATTAACACAGAAACAGAAAACCAAATACTGCATGTACTGCATGCAACGTTAAGCAGGAGTTAAACATTGAGAACACACAGACATAAACATGGGAACAATAGACATGGGAGACTACCAGAGTGGGAAAAGAAGGAGTGGAGGAAGATATGAAAAAAACTACCTGTTGGGTACTATGCTTGCTACCTGAGCATAATATACTCATGTAACAAACCTGCACATGTACCTCCTGTATCTAAAATAAAAGTTGAAATTAAAAAGATTTTTTTTTTTTTTTTTTTTTTTTTGAGACGGAGTCTCGCGCTGTCGCCCAGGCTGGAGTGCAGTGGCGCGATCTCGGCTCACTGCAAGCTCCGCCTCCCGGGTTCACGCCATTCTCCTGCCTCAGCCTCCTAAGTAGCTGGGACTACAGGCGCCCACCACCGCGCCCGGCTAATTTTTTGTATTTTTAGTAGAGACAGGGTTTCACTGTGGTCTCGATCTCCTGACCTTGTGATCCGCCCGCCTCGGCCTCCCAAAGTGCTGGGATTACAGGCGTGAGCCACCGCGCCCGGCAAAAAAAAAGATTTTTTTTTTTAAGTTAAGGGATATATTTAGGTTACTAAATTGGTTTTATACACATATGAAAATATTATTATATATTTTATAAACACTTTCTTATAATATTTACTGATAAAATTCTCCAAATTCAGTATGTAATATCAGCTTATATCACCTAGAGTTGTTCTCAATACCCTCTTTTCCCTGGCACCTGAACTTACTAGTGGACAATTCTGTGTCTTCCTAAAAGAAAACCTAGGAAATACCCTATCTGACGTTGTCCTTGGCAACAAACTTTAAAAAATGCCTATCAAACCTGGCTATTCTATCCCACTGCCTTAGTTAAGGTCTTCAAGTTCTTTCACCAGCTTTGTAAAATTCTTGGCAACCCAGCCCTCCTCTATACTATTGTCTAAGTACAGTCATGCCTTATCCATGATGTAAAGTTTATGCCAGTGTCCAGTTGTTCACAATATAAAATTTAGACATCGTCACAATTCAGCCACACTTTATCTCTCATCTTTCCCCTCTTTCTCTTTACATTGTCATCCTGGTAAATTCCTCTTGGTTGACATCCTGCCATTTCACAAGTCTGTCTTTCTCCTTCTTTCATCGGGCAAACATCTATCATATAAGAAACAATACAAAAGCTACTTCTTCTCTAAAGACTTCTTGGTCTTCAGAGATAGTTATCTCTTTCTCTGAACTTCAATAGAACTTTTATTTTAAACATTTCTAGTTTAACCTGTAATATATAGTATTGCAATAGATCTATTTATGTCCCTGCCTCTCTGCATGACTGTGCCTTATGCCTCTTATTCCCAGTCACTAGCAGAGTTTGGATTCAACTCAGTGTTGCTGCCTGAACACATATGTGAACATTTTCAGACTTATTGACTGATATGGAAAACTTTATGTGGATTTATGATTCTGTGACCTTTTGCAACTTGTCTAACATCAAAGTTAAAAAAGCCAAGAAATTTGGAAAAGAAAACACTGAATGGAATCACCTTGTGAAAGGTGCCTCTAATGCAGGCAGAAAAATTATGTTTGCATTCAAAACAGATCACCTTTAAAACATATTTACATTACATTTGACTTTGCGTGGTCCCAGTCAATGAATAAAGAACAAAACACAAGTGGATGTGTATAGAGAAGAGTTCAAAGTTGAAGCCTCCAGTAAGTTTAATTTCCTTAAGATTTTAGGGTAACTATACATATGTATATGTATTTTTTTAATTTAGGGAAAATTATTTATATGTACTGGCAGAAAGGGAAGGCAAATATTCAATTAAGGGTCATTCTACATCATTCATATTATCTTAATTTGAGAAAAAAATATTTTCCTTTGAAAATATTATTTTTTTTTCTCTTCAATCTTCAATTTTCTGTAATTTCCAATGTGGATTTAAGTCTCATCTAATTATTTGTGGAAAGTTTTCATTTTTGTTCAAGCTATCAATAATATATACAGCTAACAGACTGTAAGTAGTAAAGAAGAAAGTAATTTCAGCATCATTATTTAATTATTATTTTATGAGTAAAACTATTCCCTTTAATAAAGCATTGGGAATATTTTTAATTATTAAAACATTATTTATTTAAAATATTTTCTATCATGTTTACAGGTGTAAAATATAACTAGATATTGATGAAAAGAAAAAATCTTATACTTTTTATTTTATTTTATTTTATTTTATTTTATTATTATTTTTGAGACAGAGTCTCACACTGTCACCCAGGCTGGAGTGCAGTGGCACGATCTTGGCTCACTGCAACCTCCCAGGTTCAAGCGATTCTCCTTGCCTCAGTCTCCCAAGTAGCTGGGATTACAGGAGCCCATGACCATGCTCAGCTAATTTTTTTGTATTTTTAGTACAGACAGGGTTTCACTATGTTGGTCAGGCTGGTCTCAAATTCGTGACCTCATGATCCACCCACCTCAGCCTCCCAAAGTGCTAGGATAAAAATCTCACACTCTTTAAAGCAACAATGTTTTGTTGATTCAATAATGAAAAGCATTCTTCATTTCATGGAAAGAAAGCTAGAAATTTAAATGGTAGAAAAAATTACTTTTTTCATGGAAACATTTCAACTTTGCTATTTGGTGAACTACAAAGGAAATTTGTTATACTATTGTCATGTTTGTTATGAGTGCTTTCATCTGCTTGCTTATTTTGGTTGAGATTAGGAGAGGTATCTAAAAAGCATTAAGGCAGGTATAACTGCATTTTTGTTCATGAATGTCATCTTTAGTAAGACATAAGATTTACTCTTCAATGTAGTGATTTTCATATTTGTATTAAATAATGAAATTTAATCATTCATTCATTACAAAATAAAATGTTATCAGCCAGAATGCTGAAATACCTGATAATGCAACTCATTAGTATTCAGATTAAATATATTGTACTTCTCCAGGAAATATGGCATCATGTTCTCCAAAAAGCACATGAAGAACATCATTATAATATATTTTGCCTAGGAGTTGGGTATAAATTCTGTTCCTCAGTACTGAGTTATGATTTACCTGGATTCATCTTGGTAACCATTTAGAGAACCAATTTTCATTCAACAGTATTTATGAAGCCAGACTCTTTGTTAGGTGATAGGGGTGACAGGTGGGGTAGAGATAATTCAAACACCTGAGCTATAATAATAAAAATAGTTACAAAAGGCCATTGTATTAAAATTTCAATCCTAAAAACAAGATCATATAAACATATTACATGCTAGCATCATTTATTTTGCATTAAAATTAGCAGACAGGAATAATTGTTTTTAAGCATTTTTACATCATCGTTTTGTCTATTTTTTTAACATATATGTGAAATAGACACTAAAATTAATTTAAAAACATACCGTTCTCCTTGTTTTCCACCACTTTTGGGGTTCACAAAAACTAAAAGTGGGTGAGTACCAGGCACAGGAGTGATCTATAAGAAAAGTTATATATATGGAAAAATTATTAGGCCTATTATATATGAATAAGACTCCTTGTTATTTCTAAATTATAAAATACCAATACGCAATTTCAATAATATTACTTTCTGCAATGTGTGTGCGCGCGCGTGTGTGTGTGTGTGTCTGTGTGTGTGTGTGTGTGTGTGTGTGTGTGTGGTGTGTTCAACAGGAAAACTTCCTCTACAAAGAAAGGCATGCCTATCCAGGTAGAGGGCAGAGGGGAAGGCAGTCAGGAAGAGGGAATAACATTTGTAATTCCCGTAAGATGAAAACAAAAGTTACGATTTTCAGATAGTAAGTGAATGAGCCAAAATAAAGCAGAATTCGAGGGAAAAGGGATGAGAAGCAAAGAAGGAGATCAGCTTATAGAGAGCCCTCCTTTTATGCAGGAGTCCTAAGTGAGAGTTTTGAGGCATATGTGAAATCCATCTTCCCAACCACCTGTGAACTAGAAAGAAACTCAGTAAGATTCTTTGAGGTCCCTTTTGGCCGAAGAGTCCTTATCTACACAATTTGTTCAGTGCCTTCTTTTCCTGCTTGCTGAATAGGTTGCTAGTTAATCAAGTCTATTTGCTAAATAGAGTCCATTAACTATTGATCTCTCTTTCAGGTAACAGGAATTGACTTGACTGTACATCATGTGCTACTGCTTTCATCACAACTCAGCTCTCAGTTGAACAAGAAAGGCAAAGTTGCTGTCCTAATGGAGCTTATATTATAGTGGAGAAATATGCAATAAACAAATACATATTTAGTAATGAAACATGCCATGATGGGAAATAAAGCAGGTAAGGTGATGGCACATATTTGTATGGGTAGAGTTGTTTTACATAGGGTGGGAAAAGACAAGTGTTGTCTATTACCTGAGTCCAATGTTAAATAATAGACTTTTAAAAATAAAAGTATTCCTATTCAATGTAACCCTATATAACTCCCATCTAAATACAGTTTGATGAAAAAAAAATTTAATAACAAAAGTATTCAGCTAATTGTGTCCTCTAAATACTAAGTGGAACAGTTTTGGATCAATCTGCTTTTTTGAAAGTAGATTCAAATTATCTTTACTGCAGTGTTATTTCTCCCCTAGAAAGTATTCTTAAATATTTAATGAGACAATTAAAAACACTAATTTTTACCATATCATGCCCTTCCTTCCTGCCTGTTTAACTATATAAGTTAAAATATTCTACTAACATATTTTCCTCCACTTATTTAGTAAAATGGCATTTTTCTAATGAGAATAGGCAACAGGGAAATGTTAAAATCTTCACATTACCAAAATGGGAAGACTGAGTGAGATACTCGTAATTTTTCTATTCGTATCCAACTAGCTCTCATTATAATTTACTGTGTCTGTTTCTATTTTACTTTCCATTGCAAAGAAGACAAAGTTTTTTTCTTCCTAATTTGTCTCTAATTCAGCTGGGAGAAGGATAAGCAGGAGAAACTTCTGCACTAACTTCCCAGGTCTCCCCTGAACTAAATGTGTGCTATCAATTAATGTATATAAAGTGCCTATCATCTTTAAGCCATGGTGGCTCAGATTGCAATGGGTACCCCTTCCTCCCATTAAAAACTAAAATGAAAAAAAAAAAAAAGAAAAACCACCAAAAAAAACTATATTTAAAAACCTGCGTTCGATCTTCTTTATTTCTCATCCTATTACAAGGCTGAAACTCCTAACGTTTTCATAAGCAAATACACAATAATAAATAGATGTAGTTTTAGTTGACTTTTTAGTCAATTTGAATTGTTTCTAAGTAGAAATGGGAATCTCAAGGTAAATAGGTTTTTAAGCATGAGCAAAGTATTAAATCTGAACCCCAAATACTCATTAGGATGAGTTTTCCTTTTCTCCCTAAAGTCAACATTTATTTTATAACTATATGAGATTATATAAAAATTCATACTGAGTCCAACATATCAAATTATTTTCAAACTACGCTTTGAAATGTCTTTCAGAGATATTTAATTGTTAGAATATCTATAGACATCACTATAAATTATTAAGTAAAGGGGAATTAAAATTGTGTTTTAAGTTATATACTGTCATGAACAAATATCCCACTGGAATAGATTATAGTCTGTAAGGCATCTCAAAATAAAATACAAAATCTTGATGTAATTTTTAGGAGTAGTTAAATGGAAAAACAGATTAAATGTACTAGAAAAATCAGTGAATTTAAAGAACTTAGAACAATGACGATATTCCACAAGTGGCAAATGTTGAATATTCAATATGGATATACAGGAATAATATCAATCAATTAGCAACCATTATTTTACATAATATTTTTCTCATTATTGAGTATGAGTTCATTTTCAGACAGTCCTAACATATAACATATGAGATAAGTAAAATTGTAGATATTATTACATGCAGTCTTTCAATTAGTTAATTTGATCTGACTGTTTGATTGCAGATTCCGGTTTTCAGAGAGGTCACTCAGGTAAGAATTATCTTTGCATTGTATTTGCAATGCAAAACATGTCTACTGATAAAATGAATATAAATAGTTTTATTAGTTTCTGAAACTCAGTACATCTGATATTTGTGAATAAAGTTTTATGGAAATATCTTACATTAATATTTTTTACATTTTACAGTAATATTTTTATTTTTTAATCTCAAATTTACAGAAAAGTTGCAATGACTCTATAATTAACTTTTTCCCTCAGCCACTTGAGAGTAAGTTGCCAAAATTCTGCTCCATCACTACCACTCCCATTTACATTACTATTTCCCACATATGGAAACATTCTCATATACACATATATACATATATACACACACACACACCCCACACACACACACACACAATACAACCATCAATAACAGAAAATTAATATGATTCTGGACTAGTTTTGTGGAAAAAAACTATTATTAGGACAACTGATGAACCCTAAATGGGATCTGAGGTACCAATGTAGTTAGGTACCAATTTATATTGAAGCTTACTATTTCTCTTTTGAACTGTATCTAATCTGTCTATGAATTTAGAAATGTCACTTTCATGAAACAATTGTGAAATAAGATGTAAAACTCAGTTATTCTGAAAACATGTTTATTGCCATCCTAAGATATTGTGTCCCTTTTGTGATAGATTTTCGTGGAGTAGTAGGTGAAAGACAAAAACACAACTATATCAAAAATTCTGTCAGCTTAAAACTATTCATTCTTTGAAGTACATATTTATACAGCATTTGAGATCATCTGAAGTAGAACAGCATATAGAACAGATGACATCTTAGTTGATTTGTTTAAAGCATGAAAGAACCCTGAACCTGCTCTCAATCTCCCATGACTCTTCCATTGTGTTTGAGGCTCTCTACAGAACCCAGTGTCTTTTCAAAACAGTTAAACAATAAATGAGATAGAGTAATATGGTATCACATGCAAACAAAAACAAAACAAAACAAAACAAAAAAACAAAAAAAAAACTGATGAAGAGAGAAAGTGTTTAGGAAGATTTTATAGCATCTATGGTAGTTGAAATCTTGAAGAATGGTCATAAATTTGATGTGCAGGGCATTCCAGGAGACTGTTCACGCTGGATTCTCCACCATACTGAATAGAATTCATCATGTAAAATCTTATTTAATCACATAAAGGGCCAGTTAAAAATAGTACATTTAAAGAGCATGATTTTAGAGTTAGACTGGTTTTGAATCCCAGTTCAATCACTTCTCTTTATATACACACTGTTCTTTAATGATCTCATCTTATCTGATGGCTACCATCAATGCCTTTCACTCCCAAATTCATGTCTGTCCTTTCTTCTAATTTCTAGGTTCACATATTGGTCTATCTACTTGATATTTTTATTTGGATATCTAACAGCAACAGAAATTTCCTTCTAAACATTCATACAGATGCTCCCCTATCTCAGTCAATGGCAATTTCATCATTCAGTTGCATGGTCCAAACTATTAATATATTGGAGAAGTTCCTGACTCCTCACTTTTCTTGTAAACCCTGTAGTCAATTCATCAGCATATCTTTTGCTCTTTCCTCAAAATATATGTAGAATCCCATCACATCTCTCTACTTCCACTGCTCCATCCTAATAAGCCTACATCCTATAACCCCTGAATAACTTCAACAGTAATATACTGGACTCTTGGCTCCCCAGCAATCTAATCTTTATAAGAGTAAGCCTTTTAAAACATCATTCAATCATGTAACTCCTCTGCTCATCCCTCCCACCAATATCTTCTCATCACACTTAGATCAAAAGTCAGTCTTTAGTGAAGCCTTCAAGCCTTTAAAAATTCCCATCCCTATTACTTCTCTGAATTACTTGCTACCACTTTCCATCTTGCCCACCCTACTCCAACTACAGTTCTTACCGACCCTAGAACTCTCCAGACATATACTTACCTTAGGGCTGTCCATTACCCATATATTCAAATGACCAACTGCTTCAACTCTTTTAAGTCTTGACCCAAATATCACTTTATTAATGAGGCCTAATCTAGCCACTGTACTTAAAATTATAGAGAATTCTGACTCTCAGCCCTGATACTTCTTATCTTACTCAGCTCTATTTTTACATCATTTATTATCTACCATTGTATATATATGGAGATACTCAGTTTAAAGTTTGCTATAATGTTCAAAACTGTAGAGTAATAATTCTGGATTTAGATAGAGAATTAGAATGTCAATGAAGGGCTAATTATGAGAGTCAACAGGGTTGAGAATTCTAAAACGAGCAAAGGACATACACACGTACACACACATACATCAAAGGAAGTGAATTAATTATATAGAGATAATTAATTTAACATACATATGTACTATACAGTTACATTTAGTGCATGGGTGTATGGTTTATTGTCTTGGTGATTAAAATAATAAAATATGACAAATAAGGAAGATAAAAGAAAGAGGCAGTTTTGTGAGGAAAGACACTGGTTCAGTTTTTGATATTTAAGCATAAGGGTTCTCCTTTCTTTCTTGTGCTAATAGTGTTACAAACTAGATTCGTTAGCTCTTAATAACCCTTTTATTTTGAAATGTTTCTCAAAGAATATTTAGGATCAAGGTAACTTCAACATAAATACAGTTTAAACAATTGTTCTGTTTTTCTCCTTAGTTGTTCACATGTGGGAGAGCCATCTGTAATTTTATATCTCTTGCATGTTAAGAAGTCGTAGTTTCAATTACATTTGATCATATATATTAAGTGTAAACCTATGGTGTGAGTGATGACAAAGACAGAGTGCCTAACCACCTCTATTTGAAGTCCCCTAGGACTTGGGTTAATTAATGAGACTCATCCTAAGGTTATACATGATCTATTACTTCCTCTAATTAGAAATAATAATCCTGATCATTATGCTGGTTAGCTGGAAAGAAATAAGATGAATGTGCTTAACTATGATTAATAGTCTTCTTTAAGCAGTGTAGATCTCTTCTGTCACTGAGTTATACGCAAACCGGGCTGCAACTCAATGCTTTTTAATGATACATATTTTTTAAAGCTCATGGAAAAAATTAATTTTATGGTAGATCTTTTTACCTTTCTTGATAATGAACAAGCCTTTTGGCATTTAAAGTTGATAAATACAACACAAAATTACTATTTTTTTCATTTTACATACAATAGCTATCCAGAACTCTATTCTTTTATTTTTTTTCTCCAAAACTATGTGGCTGTATATGTGTATTCTATTTTGGTCCTTTCTGCTGAGGTACAACAGACTTTTGCACACGATTCTATACCAACTTTTTTTAATTCAAAAAATTATTACTACACATATGGTATTTTCTTACTGATGTTTTTTTAGGGCTGACTTCTATACTTGTCCCACTCACAATTTTAGCTGACACTTTTGTATGCCAAAGCAAGTTATAAAAAGTTATTATCTGGCTAGAGAGATGAAACACATCCACGAAGAATGTTAATCGTCTAAGATTTTTAATGTGACTAATTTAGTTGTAATAAGGTCAAATATTTCAGATCATTTTAAAATAGCAAATAAAATGAAACATATTACTATGCAGGTTTAAAACCTTGAAAACACTGTATGTACTATTTAATTTTGGTTTTGATGTCTGGGAAAATTGAGATATGATTATGAAAATCTTGGAAAACTGAGATTAGAGGAGTTAAAATTCTGTTGCATACATAAATTTTATCTCAAAGCCTGCAGCAATGTAAAAGTACATAGAAGAATAAGATGGTCAGAAGTTTAGCAGTTACATACATGTTAAAAATTTTTAAGCAAAGAAACAGGGTATGTTGGGAATGAAACACATAAGCCCTAGTCAGATGGTCTTCATTCAAACCTTGGTTTTACCACTGACTGTGTCCTTGTGGAATTTATCTTACTTCTGAGCATCAACATGATTTTGAAAATAATAATAATAATGGTATTGATCTCATATGTTTATTAAGAGAATTAAACAAGCTAATATGTATAAAATACCATCATAATGCTTAAGCTATCCTATTTAACAAATGATATATGCTTCCCATCTGTGATGAGAAGTATGTGCCTAGTCATGTGAAATACAATTATATTTCAGGATTAGGCTTCCCTTTCATTAATTTCATCCCAGGAACCCAGAGTAGCTGAAAATTTAAACTTATCAATATTAGCCATCCACATATTGAATTAAAATGTTGATTTTTTCAATAAAAATTTTATAGGATCATTTAATTAATAAATTTTTGGCTAATAAAATTTTGACAGCTTCTATGAAATTTCTAAAATATGGATATGAGTTCCAAAATGTACATCTTGATTTACTTTTTTATAATTAAATTTTCTGTTCTCTAATATATAATTTTATTATTCAGAATTCCCTCCTTTTATATTTGAGTTAAATAATTTATGAAAACTTTTCTATTCACAACGGATTTTTAGATAAAAAACAAACAGTAACTTAGTTATCAATATTTAATAAATTATTATTAAATTTTAATGACATATTCAAGACGATAAAGAAGCAAGCATTTAGGCATCTACTATGTGCCCTGAACTGTGTTTGCATATTGAAAAATACAAAAGACATAATCTATAGTATCAGAAATAAAGTAAGAAATAAAAAAATGATAGAAAATCAAATATAATGAGTGCAAGTGTGTGACATAATGTCTGTATGTTAAATTGTTAGTAAATATTCCCAGAGAATGTGAAACTTGAAGTATAGGCAATTGGAATGCAAAAACATAAGTAGAAAAACATACTTAAATCCACAATGTCATAAATTAAGTGAAATGTATTGACCATTTTCCTGTTGAAGTAAGAAATACAGGTAAAAAATGTTATACATTCACCCCATGCAATGTCTTAAAATGTCATTCTTGATGCTAGAGACCATAAAGATAACTTATAGGTTTTTATATAATAGTATTAAAAAATGACTACCTGTGTTTATTTAACCTAGAAATATATTTGGGGTTTAAATTTTGACTTAAAATTTTGAAAGCTGGAAATATATTACAATAAGTTCTTTATTATTAAAAATTATTTATTTAGAAAATATATATTCAGAGTTCATTTTCTTCTTTCCTAAAGACGTTTTTGCTATCAAAGTGACTCTTTAAATCATACCCACACTAAATATAAATATATAGAGAGATATAAAGTATACCTGTAAATAAATAACACATATGCATTTAATAAATGTGTATATTTAGCAATAATTTGCAAATCTTTCAGAAGATCACTTGCCAATTTGAGTTTAAACGGAGATAAACTCATAAATGATTAATTTAACCAGAATGTTACTCTGTCAATCAACCATAAGACTGACATCTTGATAAATTAATAAAGATCTTTCTGAAAGAGTCTACTAAGCTAATATGCAGATTAAACAAATGTGTTGATAGCTGAACATATGCCCCTTTGAGAGCCTAGAAGTATCAAATGTGAAACCTAGTAAAATTTTGATTTAAAAAATCATACCTGCAGGCCTTGTCCATCTACAGTAACAGAGTTGGCTCTTTGCATTTTATTCTTGTCGATCACTTTGTTTGGCTGCTGGGAACCACTCTTTTCCTTTTTCACTGTTGATTGTCTTTCCTGTAAAAAAGAAAATCTTTGATAAAAATAAAAATTATGAAAATAACATAAAAAAAAGTTAAGTCGTTTTACTAATAGAAGAGTTTCATGGGTACGAACCCAGGCTCAACTTTCTAATTTGAAGTTCCTAGTGAATTATGTGAAAGCTGTTGTTTTCAACTGGCTCAATATATATGATAGTTTCATGATCGAACCACCATTTAAAGAAATAATGAGAAAGAATACCAAATTGTATTATCCCTATGTGCCCAATTGTGACTTTTTATCAAAAGTTATTAAGGATTACTAAAGTTGATTATTTTCATATGCAATGATACAGATAACGGGTATAGGATTATAATTTAAAGAATGTGGTGTTGACTACTAAGAAAAGTTTATAAATATGTGCAATATTGAAAATTATTTTTAATTGCATGATGGACTTTTAAGCTACTATTTATATCAAAAATAGCATATATCTTAAAACTGACATTCCATCCCATCTAATTACTTTGTTCCTCATAGTAAAAAAATTTCTTTTAGGAATTGCCTGCTCCCTGTTCCTATTTCCTCTCTTTTCACTCTCTCTTAACACAACCCAATCAACTTGTATCACCATTACTCCAACAAACTATCATTTATTAAAATCACCAATGTCCATCTCAGTTTCACATCTAAAGGTCAGTCTTCATCTTCTCAAATCTTTCAGCTGTATCTGACAGAACTGATCTCTTCTTACTCTTTGAAAACTTGCCTCACGTGGCTTCCAGGACACTTCTTTCTCTGAGGGCTCTTCCTTCAAAACTTCGCCCACACAGTCTCTTTTGCCCATTGCTTCTCCAGCTTTGCAACCTGTAAGACTTGGCCTCTTCCTTGGATCTCTCATCTTCTCTATCTACTCTTACTCCCTAGGTAACTTCATTCATCCCCACAGCTTTCAATTTCATTTTTATGAATATTTCTAAATGTATAATTCTTGTTCTGATTTCTACCCGAGCCTTAATTTCTATATGCAGACACTGTTTCTATATGTCCACATGAGGGCCTAAAACACGTAATTGTAAAATCTCTAAGATTAGTTTAAAAATTTCCTGCCTATTCTGTTTCTTGAAAATAAATCTCAAACTGGATGACTACTCACCACCTGCCTCATTATATGGTTTAAACAGCCGTTATCTTTTTTTTTGCTTGGATTATCTATCACCTAATGAATCATTCTACTTCCATTTCTGTCTTCCTACACTCAGTTCTCTACACAAAAGTCAAACTCATCCCTTTTTTTACTACACTCCAGCTGCACTGGCCTCCTCATTGTTCCTTGATCATAACAATCATGCTTTAAATTGAGAGATTTTGCAAACATTCTTCAGTCTGGTGGAAAACTTGCCACTGCACACTTCTTGACCTTGGTCCTCACTTCAGGATGTGGTCAAATGTCAGAGAGAAGTTTCTCTAGTCCTTTCGGCCCCCTTTTAAAACATCAGTTATTACAACCTAAGGTATTATGTATTTGATTTGTTTAATTGCCTGCATTCTTTCATCTTAATTAAAGTTCCATAAGTAAAAGAACTTTCTTTGTTTCACTGGTCTATATCAGATTCTAAATCAGTGACAAACAAAAGTCAGGATAAATGAATGAAGAAATAAATGAAAACTTTTTAAAAAAGTTTTCTAAGTTCTTGAAGCATACTGTTGAGAAGGATTCTTGGGGACCTAGGCTTGATGTGAAAAATTGTTCTAATTGATTGGCAATGTGTGCCATGGGTGCTTAAGTGCTTTAGTGCCACACATTTCCTATCACTTACTCAGCTATATATATTTCCTAGTTCCTATATTTGCTTGTTAGAGTATCATTTCAATTTCTGTAGTTTAGAAAGATCTGTTTTTATTTGTGCAAATGTATGGGGTAACTGAGAAATGTTTTACGTGTATATGATGTATAGTGATCAAGTAAGGGTATTTAGACTGATCATCGCCCAAGAACAATACATACTTAAAGTATAATCATCCTTCTCTGCTATCAAGCATTGAATTTATTCCTAGAGAGACATTTTTAAGTAGCTTTGAAAGTAAAGCTGTTTTTAAATATATTAGGGCTAGATGGATCAGAAATTGTCTCTGACTAAAATAAATGCTAATCCGTATAGTCCATTTACCTTGCAATTCCATGGTGCAAAAACACTGAATATATTTTGTGTGTGGCTGCAAATGGATGCCATAATAGGATTCCTGAAATTCAAGTTGTTTGAAAAATGATATGCTTTCATATAAGCATAATTTCTGGCAAAAATATTGATTTTTAAAAGAAAGTTCCTTCTTTTTAAGTTTGCAAATTATAATTGCATTCATAGACAGTTAATGGCATAATGTATAAGAGGAGTGAATTATTAGATGAGGTTTGGAATCAGAATGCCTGAGTTGAATCTCATCTCTACTACTTAAGTATTACGTAACCTAGAGGGTTTACGCTTTGGCAAAATGGAGATAGTGATACCTATTTTTCAGAGTTGTGTAAGGTTTAATAGAACATGTATAGTCTGTAATATTGTCCCTACATTGAAGTATGTATTCAATATAAAAGTTACTATGAGTGATGTAAAATAGTTGTGGTTGCCTATTAGGGTGCTCATCAACATTGTTTTTGTATTTCCAAATGTGTGTATGTATGAAAAAAAAAATCAGTGGTTACATTAGGAACATATTTAAAATTGAAAAGTTCAATGCTTATATTTGAAAACACATAGCTTGTGTTAGCTGTTCAAAAACTTAATGCTATTGGTGAGTGTGGAAATAATTTACTCCAGCATTCTTGCATGCACATATATAAAACATGGAATCAATATTTTGTAAAAATCTGCCATGTGAAAGATATAACTTAATACAGTTATTCTTCCAAATTATCCAACAATTGTTGTTTGGCCTTCAATTTATAAAATGCGTACATTTGAAGAATTAAATAAAATTCAATTTGATTAGTTACAATGGAACTGGAAATTTGCAACAGATTATATATTCATGTTTTAATGGAAATTTAAGACATGCAAGTATATGTTTTTAAAGAGCTACAAAACTATCTCTTAATATTACTTTACTCTTAGCCACACATATATCTAGGGCAATTCTTGTGTTCTAAGAACCTCCAACTGGCAGAGATAGCAGTTGATTAAATGGCATCATGTCCCTCCAAGTTGTCAGCCCCCTAAGTAAGCTGGGCAGGAGACTAAACAATTGCTTTAGCGTAAGCAATCAGAAATAATACAAACAGGCGGGTGTGGTGGCTCACGCCTATAATCCCAGCACTTTGGGAGGCTGAAGCAGGCAGATCGCTTGAGCTCAGGAGTTCAAGACCAGCCTGGGCAACATGGTGAGACTCTGTCTCTACTAAAAATGCAAAAACATAGTCAGGCATGGTGGTGGACACCTGTGGCCCGTTACTCTGGAGGCTGAAGTGGGAGGATCACTTGAGTTGGGGGTGGAGGTTGCAGTGAGCCAAGTTTGTGCCACTGAACTCCATCCTGAGTGACAGAGTGAGACTCTGTCTCAAAAAATAAATATATAAATAAAAACAAATTTTAAAACCCTAGAGTTTTCAACTCATGAGATTTCATTTATGAAATCCAGAATATGAGACAGAGGCATATAACAAGTTAATTTTTAAAATTCTCAGTGTATCCATCTGTCTGTGTATTTTATTATAGTATCTAGCTAATACTAAAATGGTGAGCATTCATTTAAACACAAACACACAGACACACGCATCAAGAAAACCAAGTGAATTCTTTGGAGAAAAATGCAAATGTGTAGAATTTGTGGAATTAATACAGGCTAAAATCTTAAAAAACAGGAGAGCCTCATCACTATTTAATTTTTCTTCTATTTCCATTGAGAAAATTGTCTCTCCTTTTTATATGAGGCACAGGAAGGGGGAGGCAATTGCATCCTTGGAAAATTTCCTCTCCACCAGGTTTCACTAGCTTTTTTGGAAGGTCAATTGACCCTGACTGGCAGACCTCTATTATGATATTTATGAGAGTTAATTACCAATGTTGAACTTATTGAAAAGTTTCAGAAAGAGCTCACCAATCTTAGTTTGCACAATCATTCAGGATAAAATTGCTCTCTGATAATAGGGGACAGTGTTTGCCATTTAACCTTCGGTTTCTTTCTTTATGTTTTGGGGCTCTAAACCACAAAATAAATTACATTGTTGTAATTAAGGCAAATTTCCTTCTGCTAGATAAATCATCCTAGATATACAAAGAGTTGGAAAATTGTTTCTTTAATCAATAGAAATTATTCAAACTCTGAAAAGAGCTACTCTAACAAAAAAAAAAGTCATGAAAGAGTATAGAACATATAACTACAAAATATAAAATACAGTTATTGATATTTGAGCATTTTCAAATATCAACCATTTGTGTTTGCTATGTAGACATTTTAAATATAGAATTCAGTGTTTTGTGATCCGTAGACTCTATAAGCAGCACAACAGATCTTAACTGGGGATTATATTGTATTAGAATTCCAAAAGAATAATCATCATAATAAACAGAGAAGAAAAGCCAAAAAGACCATTCACAGAAAATAGAAAGATGAAATAAATAAAATAAAAAGACCTCACTTTAAATATGTGCTCTAAAAAAAAATCTTTGTCTACATCATGCTGATTCTCAGAGGTAGAGCATTTGTACATTGGTGAAAACTGCTTTCACAAAAGGGTTGTTTACCACAATACTTAAGCCTGCTGTTATCGATCGCTGGCAAACTGCAAGCAGCAAGTGATGATTACCTCAAGAACAGGGTTTTCTTCTTTTTGTCCAATCTCAGCATGAGAAACTGGCAGCAGCAAAGCACCTCCACTGGTACAAAGCTACAAAGACGAGTGCTTTCCTGCCAACAGCAGCCATCGCTTGAATCGTAGAACTTACTTTAGCTGCTACTACTGCACAACTTGCCTGAATGGAGACTTAGTCCTTTCTGCCACTGGAGCTAGGCCACACGAATTTTCCTGAAACCCTAGAGTTTTAACCTAAAGTATCACAAAGATTCACAGCAGTTAAGATCTCTCTGATGCAGAAATGTTACCACATTCAGTGGGACTTACAAAGGTTGGGTCTGAGACACCACCTTACTAACAAACTGTAAAGCTGCACCTTTAACCAATATGGACTTAATGTGGGATTTGAACATTTTAGTGGCTGAAGGAAACAAATTCATTCCAAAAATGATGAAGGCTCTAAATCTATTAGTACTCTTTAAAAATTGCAGCAAAACTATTTACTGACTAGAAAAAAACAGTCTTGATTTTTTTTTAATTATACTGTTTTAAACATAAATATAATAAACAATATAAGGTCTAAAGATTTTTATTTCTTTTAAACTTAGTTAAATAAGTACTTTTAAAAAAAGCAAAAACAACTTTTTGTAAAGGCAAAAGTATGAGCTTAGATGCTAAAATGCAGGTTTGTCTTTTATTTCTGTGTCAGCTGGGGCAAGTTGTTTACCATTGCTATGTTACCATTTGTTTAAACTATAAATTGGAAAGTTTATGTTAGAAAAAAGTAAGAAAATTTAGATAAAAGTACTGACATAAAACAGGCACTCAGTAAATGGCAATGATTTTAAAGTACAGATAAAGATTTTTACATATTTTATTATTAAGTTAATCACAGGTAAACTGCTTGGTCATAGTAGTAGAAGGTAAGTGTTGTAAAGAAGTGTTTTCATTTAACATCCTGTGCTTTATTTGCCCACTAAGTCACCATAGCTGAGAATAATTGCTGTGGTGATCTGGGTGGTGTCTTTGGGAGAGACAGGGGGCAACAAAGCAGACAAAATGACAACTGGTCTTAAAGTGCCTGGGGATGTTAGTTGCTTCCTCAACTTGCACGTACACTTGGTGACTTGATCCATAAGTCCCAGTTTTCATACATTACACATGAAGTTCATATTTTCTCCTAGGATATTATCCTGGGTATAAACCACTTACAAGATTTCTGTTAAGGAAATTCTTATTGAAAGGAATGAAATTAAGGAATAAGAGGGTGTATACCAAAATAATTTAATTTTGGCTATGTGAGAGTATATTGCAGCACCATCATAAAATAATGTTTGTATGTTTGTGTGTGTGTGTGTGTGTGTGTATAGTATACATACACATATATGTATGTATATACTTTATATACAAGAGAAGACTTTGGACTGGGCGTGGTGGCTCACGCCTGTGATCTCAGCTCTTTGGGAGGCTGAGGTGGGCAGATCACAAGGTCAGGAGTTCAAGACCAGCCTGGCCAACATGGTGAAACCTCGTCTCTACTAAAAATACAAAAAATTAGCTGGATCTAGTGGCGTGTGCCTGTGACCCCAGCTACTCCAGCGGCTGAGGCAGGAGAATCGCTTGAACCCAGGAGGCAGAGGCTGCAGTGGGCCGAGATCATGCCACTGTACTCCAGCCTGGGTGACAGAGTGACACTCTGTCTCAAAAAAAAGAAAAAAAAGCAGACTTTGTAACCAACCTCAACATTCCTCACTCTCCAGTCCCTTTGTAAACCATGCTGACTGTCGTCCACAGCAAACTGAAAGTAAGTACCAGGAGGCAGCTCTCTTATGCTCACACTCATTGTCTCTTTGTACCACCTGAGCTAAATGCTCGACATAGTGACTTATTAGCCCTCAATCTGTTTATGCCAGTTCTAAGTAAAACTTACCTTGTAATTGTAATTGTGTAATTTAATTATTTCTCACATCATTGAATTTTGAATACAAAATGAAAGAGTTGTCTTTATAAAAAATAATCTGCAAGCTTTAGAAAGACAAAATAACACAAGTTGTGTGTGTGTATGTGTGTGCGTGTGTGTGCGCCTGTGTGGCGTGTATGAGGAGTGGTCAGATTAAGTTTAGAGAGAACAACTGTGCAAGCTTTGGGTATTAATAATAAAAATAGTAAGTGTTTTTACACTCAAATTACTTCACAGATGTTCTTGAGTTTTTGTTATACTTTAAAAGAATTGAAACTATTATAAGTAATAAGCTTGTGATATATGCAAGAAAGGCAAGATACCACTTCCAATTAGAAGATCTGTACTCATAGAAAAGCCTTTAATCTTCAAAAATATAGCCAATGAATATAAATCTACATATTTTAAGTTAAACGTTTAATGTATGTATATATCTTTATATATGTTCTCCCACATATACTTTAACCACATTTTCCGTTAACCAAGGAGCAAATGTTCCTGATGGTAGAACATAAGGTTTCTTGTCTCTCTGTGTGTATATATGTGTATTCACACACTCAGCCATGCATATATCCATGCATAGGCTTAAGGAAAATTTTGGAACAACAAAGTTGAAAAATCTTATGTAATGACTTTGAGGGATACTGGAAAGTTTAAGTTAATGTAAACCAATATATAATGCCAGAAAAATAAATAAGTATAGGAAGACTTTTAAAAACTTCATATCAAAATAAAGACTTTCATCCTGAAAATTGAAAAAATATATAAAAACAAAAATTTGGATCTATTTACTCAATCTATATGACACAAATTACAGAATTGAATACACAGGGATGCTCTGGAGATTAACAGATCTAAAGAGAAAACTTTACATCTTAACTGCAATGACTACATTCACTTGATGGGGCTGATAACAGGGGCAGAAACAAACTCAAGAACCTGAGATGCAAAATTAATTTTCTCACACTTAACCCAATGAAATAATAAACTGTCCTAATACTTTTGTCACTTAAGTGTGTAATTTAGCATCTCTATTTTATAATAATAATCGTGATAATAATGTCATCAACTCAAAGAATATAAAATCAGCTTAACATTTTCTTAGATTAGAAACATTATATTTAAGGGTTATCTCCAAGTATTTTTGAGTATGTCTCTGGTTAAAAATGAGAACTTTTTTTAAAAATTTAATGAAGGTGTCTACACTGATTAAAAAGCCATTTTTGGTGAGGAGAAAAGAGCAGTTATTACCATTTTATGCAAGCATGTTACCCTCTAAATAAATTCATCATCTTATGTAGCATTCATGTAAGTAATACTTTCTAAAATAAGCAGATTTAAATAATTTTAAGGAAAACAAGACCATTTGGGCATTTCCTATAGAGATAATAACAATTGAATAGGATATTGTCACAGAAAAATGTGGAGGCTTTGTATCATCAATGCAAAGATAAAGCAAAAATGTTACTGAAAATAATTGTTGTGGCAATGCTTACATTTATTTTCAAACTAAAAGCCATTTATTCTGTGACTATATTTTATTCTGATGTCTTTCTATACAATGGCATGGACTAGGTGATTAATGTAGTTGTATTCATTTGAAAGTGATGGGCACTTCAAAGTAAGCAAGAGTCTCTTAACATACTGCCATTGAAACTTACATTTTGACGGCTCAAAGAATAAATTGTTTCGGATTTCTTGCAATGTATGTACATTTTAATGTGAAAAAATGGGAATGGTATTATTTTTCTATGCTAGTAAAAACTCTTTGTAAAGTAACCTTTACTTTTCTCTGTGAAGTCTGGGTCACATAACTTCTTGTTTTCTTAATGCTTATCACAAATATAGATTGAAAATTCTTCAGGTCTATCCCATCACCGAAAATATGAAAACCACCACTTCCAATTAGCAGAATATGAAAAAAATAAAATATAAAATGCTGGTATTCGAATGTCACTGAGCCAGCACAAAATGTTCTTTATAGCTATACAAGATGTATAATGGCCTATAATTGTAAGTGTGAAAACCTGTTTTTGCTTACGCACCTCAGGAACAGAAACTCCTGAAGTGGGCAGAGTCTGCTGAAAAAGAGAAGTTCATATGAAAGCTGAAAAAGAATCAAACTCAAAACAAAGTATCAATGAAGTTTCTCATATCATTATACGCCTGTGAAATAAATGAGTAAATTAAAAATACATTTCCTTGGTATAATTTTACTGCTTCCTTGAATTAAATAATTAAATATCTTTTCATTGAATAAGAAATTATCTAACACAGAGTGGGTTAGGTTGTGAAATTATTTATCCAAAACACAACTTCATCTACCCAAAGCATGCTAATCAACATCTTTGGCCAGCTTTAGCTCCAAGTTCCATTATCTTTAATAAACAATTTCCACTAATTTTTTTTAACTTGCCCCTTTACCCATCCCACTTTTCATTTTGAAGTCCAACTCTCATTCTTTCCTAAAAATACTGTGTCTTTTGAACATAGACATAGTTTATGATGTTCATTTTGTTTCACAGTACTCTGGAAATAAGAAAACATATTCCATTAATATCAGTAAAAGAATAAAAAGTATAATTAAATAATAATGAAATAAGTGACAAGATTTTTACTGGAGAGTAATTTTGTTAAGATGGGATGAAATATACTGACATTAGTCTTCATGACTGTATTTTCCATTATCTACCACCACTATCCACTTTGTAGTTCACATTAGAAAGGTATTTTTTGTTTTCAAGAAATGATAAAGGATCACCTCAGAAGCCTGCATTCTATGGAAAGGAGAACATAAAATACAAATTTGGATAAATAGTTGACAAATCACACACACAATACTAGATAAAGATTCCCCATACTGGAGCAGGAGAAGAAAAGTTGGATGGGAAGCCAGGAGTTGTTAGATATTTGTGTGTCCCTGAAAAGAAGGAGGTAGTCAGAATATTCCCTTTTCCTCCCTAGATACGAGCTATCTGAGGGAGGGTCTGGGCAATGCTAGATTACCAAGATGGGTATGAAAAATCTGAGATTTCAGATATTATTATACTCCCTTACCCAGGATAATTTTAGAAAGGCAGCAAGAACCAAAAAAAAAAAAAAAATCTGAACCTGAGATAGGTAAAACCTGACACCCTCACAGCTGCACAGAATAGAGATGGACTAAAAGAATTCAGTGCACTCAGAAGTGACACAGAAGAAGAAGAGGTCTAGCACAGCCCCACAAAAAATTAAGGTGTTTAGGAATCCAGCTCTATTTGGAAGATATTTCCGTAATATAAGTAGAAAGTACTGTAGCTGCAGATTTCTAGTCAAAAGAAGCCAGGAAGTGGAAGAGTATGAGCTCTGGTCAACTATCCCATTCTACAGGAGAATCTAATAATTACTGTTGTTTTGAAGATGAATTGACAATAGGTTTGGTAGAACGTTTACTGAAAACTTCCTGATTTCAGTAACAGTCTTGACTTCTGAGTCCAAATTAGTCTACATAACACCAGGGACAATGAATATTTGTGCTAGCTTCTCTCTGAGTCAATTCAAAGATATTTGCCAACCTTATTATCATTCTTTCTTAGCTTCAGGTTGAAGCTTAAGGTCTGAATGAACATTGCAAGACATGGATATAGTCCTTCCATCTTTATCATAATATATACAAGTTTGTTCTTCTTCTCATTCAGATCAGGAATGTAATCCTACGGATCCTTATCCTATTCTGTGCCATGGAGCCAGGAAACTCTCAGAGACTCACAAGCAACCAAAATAAGAGACTTCAAGCAGCTTCCAGAGCATGAGTCAGAGATGCCTTTTACCTTAGAAGAGTGTATGCTTACTAAGCATACATTTGCAGACAGCAGCCTGGAAAGCCAAGTGAAAAGATTATGGCTGTCTAAATGCTTCACAATAACAACCAAATGCAATGCAGGAGCTTCAAATAGATCCTGGTCCACTTCCACTTTTACCACGCCCAAAAAGTAAACAAATAAAAGCAACAGAAGGCATTTTTGGGATAACTGTAGACATTTGAATATGGACAAGATAATGACTGATATTATGGAATCATTGTTAATTTTCTTAGGTGAGAATATAATAATGTTATTAGGTAGAAAACTGTCCTTAGTCTTAGAAGGTGCTTGCTGAAATATTTACGGATGTGGTGTTACACTATGTGCAGCTTACTTTCAAAAGTCTCAGCTTTATATATATACACATACACATATATGTATATATAGAGTAGTATATATAAAGAATTTATGGCAGCATAATAGCAATTATTGAATATATGTGGGAAATACTTTGGATTTTTCTATTGTTAGTGAATATTTTGTAATAAAATTTGAGAGAAAAAAGTTCTTTCTACCTCTTCATTATATCCTTTAGTGCTTAAAAGTGTGTAAAAATGTTTCTACAATGAAATAAAAATATGTACATTATCTCAGTAAAAACTATGAAGTTGCTAGAAGGTTGGGAGAGAAGTCGTGGGAGTGGGTGGAAGAGAAATAAGGAGCACTATTTTCATGGAAACAGAGTTCTCATTTAAAATGAATAAACAGAGGTAAGTTTCTAGGCTGCTGGGAAAAAGGAACAGAGAGAGAGGGAGGGAACTGTAAAGATAAATGAAAAAGAAGGGCTTTTTGAAAAAGCAATATTTCAGTTAGAGCAGAAGCCCTTAGTGACAGGCATTGCACTCTTCCAAATGTGTTCCTTTTGGGTCTCAAATCCAGAAACCCACAGGGGCCAAGAAAATAATACAAATAGGTAAGACAGGTCTGACGTTGCAAAGGCAAAGACTATGCCATGCTGGATAATATACATCCCATTTGAAGTTATCCAAAAAAGAAAAAGAAAAGACATTGTGGTATGAAATTGAAACCTAGCTACCACTTTGCTATTAACTGGTAATTTATGGATAACACACCTGAAGCCTTCCTCTTTCTCAGAGCAGCAGGGATATGAGATATCTGCTGATAGAGAGCAAGTGAGGTTGGCAGAGAGGTGGTACAATGAAAAAGGTAATGAAACAGAGGTTTGTCACTTCTTTTCTGAAAATAAAAAAAGCAGTTTGCTAAGGATGAGTAGAAGGATCAACCAACACTGATGACCCAGCTGGAGCTAGAAGTTTTAAATATGTAAGAGAGAAAGCCACTAGCCCTGTGAATTTTCTTGTGCAACACTCAGCCTTCTGAGAGCAACACTAGAAATTTACTCCAAGAATAAGAGTGACAAAACCAACATATATCTAAGCTCATTTACAATCAAAATGCATAGACAAAGAGTTATACATTAAATGTACACACCCATCGGTGGCTTATTTCTGTTACAATTAGCAAACCATGGTACTTAGATCTAAAAGAAAAGTAGAAACCTATTAGAAAATAAATTTAGCTATTATATTACTTCCTTTTTTACTCCCCTGTACTTAATTTTTAAAGATCAAAGATGAACAGAGTAAATGTTTTAGTTTTTCTGAAAATTATCATGAGTGTATGATTCTAAATGTAATATATTTTTAATCAGAATTAATACAGAAACTGTATATTTTTATTTAATCCAATGTGAAGTGTGACTACAGAGGAATGTGATTGATTTTATTTAATCAGTATCTTTTTAATATTAAATAGAATACACAGTACAGATAATTAGTTTAAAAGATGCATTTGCCTTCAGGGCACTTATTAAGTTCAATTTAATATCAAAGAATTTTTTAAAATTCTATTATTCTTAAGTATTAGGATATCTCTTGTCTTCATATTTTCTAATGTGTAATCATTTTAAATTGACAATTTAATCCAAATTGTCATAGGACAAAGAAAAATCTTTGATGGAGATTATTGGAGGTTTGACTTAGTTAAGATATAATGAGAGCACAGTACTCACATTAAAAGGGTCATTAGTTATTTCAGGCTAAAGGAACAATTTTAAAATACCTTATACCTACATAAGAACATTTGCATTTATACATATATATTTTACATTTATACATATACATATATATTATATAAATAAAAAATATTTATATATTTTTCAAGTTTGTTATCTTGCCTCATTTAATACTCCCACTAAACGAAGATACTTTATCTTTCAGGTTGGAAAGCTGAAAATCAGAGAGCTTAGATGCCTAACCCAGGAAAATAAAGTTAGTGACAGAATATTGCTTCCCTAACCCAGGCTCTATTTATTCAAATAACAGTAGCTGCAAGAAGAGACTTTTTAAAAATTACTATTTTTAGCCATGCCTTCATTTTTTAAGTGGTTTGGGAATAAAATTATTTTAAAATATTGATGAAGAATGAAAAATATTTAGAAATCACTGTATCTACAAAGTGATACACACACACAAACTTGTTTTGCCTGAAAAACTGGTTTGAATAATAGTATGAATTAATTTAACACAATAACTTCAAGTGCAGTGAAGTGTTCCAAATAAAATTATATTAAATAGCTTTTTTCCTTCATATACAATTGGATATCTCTGACATCAAAAAAGAAGAGACAGAGGCAAAGACTAGGGAAAGGTAAAGAAAAATTATCTTCATAAAATGACACTTCGTCTTAGCTGAACAGGTAAAGTTGTTCTCTCACACAAGATAATAAAATGTATTATCTTTAGGATATAAACATTACGTACATTTTTGGCTTCCATGAATTTTATTTTTATATTTCAGTTTCATATAATTCGTTTAAACTCTATAATTCTTGAGGTCCTTAATTGTGTACACTCATGCATATGAATACAATGTAAGTTTTAAAAAGGACGTGAGATAAAAATGATTTTAATACTATTGTTGTCTTTATCAAAATTTTTAGTAAAAGATTATTTCAGTCATAATGCAAGCAAGACAATGAAAAGAATCATAAATCATTTCTCTTTTTCACAAAAACTCTGATATGTCTAATTAAGATGCAACTATAAAAATAAAACATTTTAAAAGCTACACATATTGTAATCTTATCTAGGGTCCCTTGACTGTTTCTCACCTGACTCAAATTATAAATCATGCTGCTATAAAGACACATGCACACGTATGTTTATTGTGGCACTATTCACAATAGCAAAGACTTGGAATCAACCCAAATGTCCATC